TTTAACTCTTAATTTTTTCTTTTGTTGTGCAGAAGCTTTTTAGTTTGATATAATCCCATTTATTTATTTTCCCTTTGGTTGCCCGTGCTTTTGAGGTCATATTCATGAAGTCTGTGCCCAGTCCTACTTCCTGAAGTGTTTCTCCTATGTTTTCTTTAAGAAGTTTTATTGTTTCAGGGTGTATATTTAATTCTTTAATCCATTTTGAGTTGATTTTAGTATATGGTGAAAGGTATGGGTCTAGTTTCATTCTCCTGCATATTGATATCCAGCTATCCCAGCACCATTTGCTGAAGAGGCAGTCTCTTCCCCAGTGTATAGGCTTGGTGCCTTTGTCAAAGATCAGATGGCCATAGGTGTGTGGGTTGATTTCTAGATTCTCTATTCTATTCCATTGATCAGTGTGTCTGTTTCTATGCCAATACCATGCTGTTTTTGTTATTATAGCTTTGTAGTATACTTTAAAGTCAGGTAGTGTTATGGGGAGACAGGTTTCTAATTGGCCAGGCCTGAGCTATGTGCCCAACTCTGGGACTGGGGCTAGGGTTAACTTAGCCTGAATCCACTGAGTTGAAAGGGGGAGAGGTGGTTCTGCAGAGCCCATGGGGTCCTAGAACCAAAGGATCAGGGAATGGTTTGGGATGCCCCAGTTGCCCCACATGTCCACTCCAGGGGCCCTCCTGGGCCCAAGCATTTCCTTACATGGGCTCTTTGCCTTGAGGCCTGGCTTGATTTGAGGAAGGACAGGCAGCCATGTGCAGCCACTGACCTGGGGCATCCCTTTGTGTTGCAGGGTGCCTCCGTGATGATGGAAAATAAGCCCACGAGCCTGAAGCTGATCATGACCTTGGCATTCAGCACCCTCGGTGAACGTGCCTTCATGAACCGCACCGTCGGGGAGATCATGTGGGGCTATGAGGACCCCCTCGTGAATCTCATCAATAAGTACTTTCCAGGCATGTTCCCCTTCAAGGGCAAGTTCGGGTTATTTGCTGAGGTGAGTGTGGCCCAGAGAGAAGCCAAAAGTTCAAGGCCCATGTCTTGTCCTCCATTGACATAGCCTGGAAACCAGGTCACCTCTTGCTTTGGAGTTGGCTAGGAGGCCCAGGGGCCATGGGTTGTGAACTGCAGAGAACCTAACTCAAAGTGGCTTAAACAAAATAGGGAATTTTTTGGCTCATGTAACTGAAACTCTAGGGATAGATTCAGGTGCAGCTTGATTCAGGCTCAAATGATGTGATTGGGGCTTAGCTTACAGAATTGTTGGAAGACAGAATTGTTGGAAGACAGAGGAGGCAGATTACAAATGTTGACTACAGCATTGCTCTGAGCTGCCTATTTATTCTTAATCTTGATCCCCAGTAACCTGGTAATCTGGTCCATGTAGGGTCTGATCCTTGACCTCTGGCCCCTGACTTTGGCTCCTTCAGTTGCTGGTTTTATTGAGTCATCTGGGTTGCTCCATCCTCAACCTTCTCTTTGGATTTGGGGTCTTCTGATCTGGTGTAGAGTGTTGAGGGGAAATTGTGGTTTTATATCTGCATGTGACAGATACTCAATACATTTTTGTCCAGGATGAAAGGTACTGGTTGTGTGGGTAAATTGGCAAGTCTGGGTAAGTGACATGATTCTGCAAAAACATCTTGTAACTTCTGAAGTACTTTGCAAATGAGAGTTATTACAAAGTTACTAGCAGGCTATAATCTATGTTTGACCACGTATAATGGAAAACTCAAAATAACAGTCTAGCAGTAGGCTGTTCAGTGTTGGTATGGTGGCTGCATAGTCTTCAGTGATTGAAAAGCCTTCTGCTACTCTGCTCTGTCATCCTTGGGGTGTGGTTTACATTTTCAAGATAACCTTATGGCCCAAGATGGCAGCTAGAGCCACATCCCAAGTAGCCCAGCAGGAAGAAAAAAGTGGTGGTGGCGGGGGGAGTGGGGGAGTTGAGGATAAAACAGCATGTCCCAGCTGCCTCCCTCTCAGGGAGGGAGAAAACCAATTTCCACTTACTTCACATGGGCCAGAACTTAGTCATGTGGCCACACCTAGCTGCAGAAGAAGCTGGGCAGTGTAGCCTTTTAGGTGGGTGTGCTGATACCTTGATTACCCTGGTCTGGGTTTTGGTATGAAGGAGAAAGGGGAGAATAGACTTTGATGCACTGCCTATTACAGTGATCATTTAAGTATCCTATTGGGTGAGCATTTATTAATAATATCAACTGCCATAATAAAAACAAAGACGAGCATTTTGAGCTCTTACTATGTCCTAGGCACAATGCTCAGCCTTTCTGAGCTCTTTTAGTGGCTTTGTAGTGGCTCCTGTTATTCTCACCTTGCAGTGGCTGCAGCATGGGGCTGACAAGGTCCGTATGGGCAGGTGGCAAAGACACAGCTGTTAGGAGCCAGGCCTGCGCTTTGTATTGGGACCTGCTCTGGAGCCTGTTTGCTGTAATAGGCGTAGCTGTTTGGCCAGTACACCTCGATGGTGTTCTTCAGTCTGCTATACCTTACATAGCACTTCTAGATTTTACCCCAGTGGTCACTCCTTTCTTTGTATGCTTTGTATGTTTTTGTTCTGAATTAAAAACCTGCTTCTAGGAAATGCCCTCAGAGCACCAGAGCCTGGGGCTATCTAGAAAGTGCCCCATAAATCCTGGGTCTTGGATGAGCCTCAGAATTTCAGTGGCTTAGAACAATGAGGATTTATTTCTTGGCTTGTTCTGCCTGTCCAGTTTGGTGATGGGGGTCCTTCTGCTCATGGCGGCCACTCAGGGATCCAGGCCAAGGGAAGCTCCTTCTTGACACCTACTTCTGTGGTCACTACAGCAGTGGCAGAGAGCCTGGTGAAACGTGGGGGCCCCAGTCCTTCGAGTGGGAAGAACCTGGAAGTGATGTGCCACTTCTGCCATTTTTTCATTGATCAGAGAGCTTCCCTGGCCGTGCTTTATTTTAAGTTGGCAGTGGGGTGGGGGGCGATCCTGCCATTCACCTGGGAGGAGAGCCCGACTCCCCTTGCATTAGGAAGGCAAGGCGAGACACTTCGGCCCACCACAATCAGGGCAGTTTACCTCCTAGAAAGCCCCAAGTCTCCTTCTCTTGGTCCCCAGATGCTGGGGAGTGGCAGTGAACAAGATGATGGGACCCCTGTCCTCCTGGTGGAGGGGGAGGTGGGCTTGATGGCCTGTCCCTGGGTCGTTCGCCCCTGGCCCGAAGCTTAAAGATGCTGTTCCCTGCCCTGTCTGTAGCTCAACAACTCCAATTCTGGGCTCTTCACCGTGTTCACCGGGATCAAAAACATCAGCAGGATCCACCTTGTGGACAAGTGGAACGGGCTCAGCAAGGTGAGGGGACAACAGGCGGGACCCCCACCCGCCGCCAGGAGAAGGGAGGGCGGGCAGGGCCGTGGCTGCACGGGAATGACAGGGGCCACCGGGCAACTTTTTTCTCTTAAAACTCAGGAGGGTGGGTGGCATCTGTCACAAGGAGGGGACAAAGTCTTTCAGAGTCGGGGATTTTACCCATGGTTAGGGCTCAACTAGCCAGAGAGGTGGGTAGAGAACAGTAACTGTGCTGAGTACCTGGTGTCTGCTGGGAACTGAGCTCTTCCTTTGATTCTTCATTTACAAAGGTATTTTAAAAATATTATACTACAAACTCAGGAAGACATTCACATTAAAAAATGAAACAATAGAGATATATATAAAGTGCCCTTTACACCACCTAACACTTCCACTGCCCCCTCCCCCATCCACACAGGAAACCCACAATTATCAGTTTGGAATATATTCCACCTGCCCGTTTTTATCCGTTTGCACGCCTCTGTGTGTACGGGAATATGATGTTCTTTTCTTCTTTGAACATAATAAACAATCCTGTGAGCATTGTTTTGCAACTTGCTTTTTTCACCTTCTTGGCCTTTTCTCAATATGCGTGGCAATGACTGTGCAATGGTGTTCCTTCCACCACTAAATCCTCCCTGTGGCAATTGCTACAGAGACCCCAAGGGCCTGGGACAAGTTACACCCCGACCGGTACCCAGAATGGCAGAACCGTTCTTAATGGATATGATTAACAATCTTTTTGGCTTGTTTTTTCAGCATAAAACTATACACATGCACATGATTTTAAAAAATTCCAGCGTACAGAAGGCTGGAAAGCAAACGGGGTCTCACTACAGGGGGGAAAGTCCTCTCATCGGTTCCGTTTGGAGGTCTCTTATGATTTGGAATAGCTTACCTTTGTGCCATTTCCTAACGTTATCTCTGACTAGGAGGTGCCTGTCGATGTCCATGCTGAGGGGCGAGGATGTCGACGTCCTCCCACCTCACCTGCGCTCTGCTGCTTGCTCTGTGCAGTCTAGAGATGTGGGTGACAGGCCCATTTTACAGAGGAGTCCTTGCAAACTTAGGGAGTGGGAAGCGGCCGTGGACGCTGTCTGTCTGCACACAGCCTGCTCTCTTCTCATCGCGCTGATACTGAGAACTGAGTGGTGATGTCTACGCCAGGGCCAGTTAGGTGTGTGGTGCCTGAGAGCATTTCTTAAGAGGCCCTGGCTGTACTGAGTGGTCATGTCTGAATGCTTCCTCACAGGTCAACTACTGGCATTCTGACCAGTGCAACATGATTAATGGGACTTCTGGGCAAATGTGGGCGCCCTTCATGACTCCTGAATCCTCGCTGGAATTCTACAGCCCCGAGGCCTGCCGGTAATCACTCTGACGTGGGGCCTCCTGGGCGGCCCATGGCTGAATCCAGAAGCTTTTAGAGCGCACTTGGAAAGCGTTTTGATTTGTTGTGGAGTTGACTCACTAGCCCTTGGTATTGTCTTGGATTCTCTTTGGCTGCCGCATGAAGAGCCAAACTCCAACTTCTGATGCTTTTGCAAGGCCCAAAGAGAGGCTTCTGGTGGTTGTTTGGGGCACGGTAGTGGTAGGGCAGGAAACGATCAAGGTCACAGGGATCCCTGAAGTGAAGGCAAGAGGGGGGCTCTGTCTGCATCTGGCTGGCTGTCCTAAATGGCCATGTACCTGCTGAGCCATCCAGCTGACTCTGCTGGGCCTGCTGGTCTCCAGTTGTGCAGTGTTGGGGGCCTGCTTGGGGCTAAACATTTCTTGTTGTCTCTAGCTGTGGCGTAAGAACAGGCAGTGGTTCCTGCAGCCCTTTTCTGGGCACTACTGTGTCTTCTGTTCCACTCCGGTCACTCTTGAAAACTCCCTTGTTTGGGAATTCACTAATGTGAACCTTGACTTACCTGCCCCTCCCAACAGAACTTTCTGGAGCCCTAATCTTTCCCAGGTGCCTGGGACACAGCAGTAACCAGATGGCCGAAGTCCCTACTTCCTGAGAGGTTATATCCTATCGGGGGGTACTCAGGCAAATGCATAAACAACAGAGTGAGAGGACAGTGCTTTTGCTCTCTGTGGCCACTTTTTAAAAATGGAACTTTAGCAGGCTGGCTGGTTAGCTCGGTTGGTTAGAATGCAGCCTTATACCACCAAGGTCATGGGTTCGGATACCCATACTAGCCAGCTGCCCCCCCCCAATTTTTTTTAAGGTGCAAGAAAAGTCCAAGTAACCCCCATATATCCTTTACTCAGTCTCAGCAGTTGTTTCTCTTTGCCTCAACTGCTGTATCCTTACCCCCATGCCCTCCTCTCCCTGGGTATCTCTTTCCTGAACCATCTGAGAGTAGGTTGGAGACACTGAGCCCCTTTATGCCTAAATACTTCAGTGGGTGTTTTCTAAAAACAAGGACATTTTCTTACATAACCACAATACTGTTATAAAAATGAGGAAATTGATATAATACTGTTGTCTAAGACAGCACTGTCCAATGAAGATATAATGCAAGCCACATATGCAATTTTCTTCTTGCTCTTTTTTTTTTTGGCAACTGTCTAGCAAGGGGAACCGAACCTTTGATCTTGGTGTTACAGGGCTATGCTCTAACCAGCTGAGCTAACTGGCCAGCCCCATGTATGCAATTTAAGATTTTCTAGTAGCCACATTAAAAAAAAGTAACATGAAGTTGATGTAATTAATTTCAATAATATATTTTATTTGATTTTATTTGACTCGGTATACCCCAAATATTATCATTTCAAATATCATGGAAGAGTTTTTTTTTTTTTTAAATCAAGTCATAGAAATCTGGAATGTGTTTTGCACTTACAGCACATCCCAATTCGGACTCGCCCCAATTCAAGGGCTGGATAGCCACATGGGATTAGTGGCTACCCTAGTCAGAGTGGGCCATATGGTCCCTGTGCAAATTTAAAGTGCTTTTGAGAAAGTACAGCAGGGTGAGTAGCTGGAGGCTGAATAGGGTGGGTTTGGGGGATGGTGCTGCCCCCACCTGAGGGGGTGACAGTGGAACTAGGACCTAATTGAAGAACTGAAGTCTGATGTGTAAAGCAATCAGGGAAGAACATTCAAGGCAGAGGGAGCAGCAGAGACAGAGGTCCTGGGGCAGGCAGGAGCATGTTTGAAACACAGTAAGGAGGTCCGAGGGGTGTAGCAATGTGGGGAGGGGATGAGCAGAGGGTAGGCAGGGGCCAGACCTCATAGAGGCTTGTGGGCCATGCTGAGGACGATGGATCTTAGCTGTAGGTTAGATTAGAAACAACTGCAGCTTTTCAGCAGGGACGTGATGCATGGTATTCTTGCAGAGAGTAGTTGGCATGGTGGGGGAGGCAGAGTTGGCACAGGACACCAGTTAGGAGGCCGTTGCAGTTACTCGGTTGAGAGAAGAGGGTGGAATGGACCCAGGAGTGGGCAGTGCAGGTAGGGGCCACCTGCAGTGGGACCTGGCTCCAGCCTCCAAGTCCTGGGTGTCATCTCTCCCCTTGTCTGTCTTTTACAGGTCCATGAAGCTGATCTACAAGGATTCGAGGGTGTTTGAAGGTATCCCCACCTATCGCTTCGTGGCCCCCAAAACCTTATTTGCCAATGGGACCGTCTACCCACCCAATGAAGGCTTCTGCCCTTGCCTGCAGTCTGGAATTCAAAACGTCAGCACCTGCAGTCTCAGTACGTGTGGTCAGGAGGGCAGCGGGCGTGAGGGTGGGGCATGACGGGGGGTGGGGGTGTGGTTACCCCCCTCATGCTGTCTGCTTAATCTCTGGCCTCTGTACTTTTGATAATCCCATTAGGCTGGAGATAAAGAGGGCACCAGAAAGATAATTTGAAAAAGAAATAACGCTGTGTGTATTGATTGCTGCTGTAATAAATTCCCACAAACTTCATGGTTAGAACAATAGAAATTTATTATCTTACAGTTCTATGGGTCAGAAGTCCACCATGGGTCTTGCTGGCCTAAGATCAGGGTGGTGGCTTGTAGCGTTCCTTCAGGAAGCTCTTGGGGACAGTCCATTTCTTTGCTTTTTGCAGCTTCTAGAGGCTGCCCTTGTTCCTTGGCTCACAGCCTCTTCCTCCGTCTTCAACGCCAGCAACATCGCATCCCTCTGATCCACTCTGACCTCACATTCATCCTCTGACCCCCTTTTCCAGTTTTAAGAACCCTTGAGACTACATTGGCCCCTCCTGGATACTTCAGGATACTCTCCCGATCTTAAAGGCAGCTGATCTGCATCCTTAATTCCATCTGCCACCTTAATTTTCCTTTGCCGTGTAACCTAACACATCCGTGGGTTCTGGGGATTAGGGTGTTGACATCTTTGGGGGCCATTGATCTGCCTCCCACAGTGGGATTTATCCCTTGAGAGTGAGGCTTGGTGGGAGGGGCCTTTCACCCCATTCTGGGGTGAGAAGAAGCTGGGGTGATCCAACTGTTACACACATCCTCTTGTTCAGCAGCGTGTCGTTGCAGGTTTGGGTGTGAAGGCTGGTGCTGGCATAAAGTCCTCTGGCATCATGGGTGTTTATCAGAAGCGTGCCAGCCTCCACGATGTCTCCGCCTTTGTTGCTCAATTTGGACACTCAATTGAGTGGCACTTGCCAGCTTGACTCCCCTGTCTTCACCGCCCTCCTCCAGCATGTCCCCAAGCCCAGTTGGCTCTACCTCCAAATTAAACGCCAAGTCCATCCTGTCTCCCATCCCTGCCCACCTCTTCCCTCCACATCAGGGTCCAGGCCACCATCCTGTCTTACCGGGGGATCCAGGCCCCTCCAATTAGCACCCCTATTGCTCTGTTGCCACCCTACCAGTTGCCCCCCAGACTGTCCAGTGTGATCACGACTGGCCTCATGTGGCTGTTTAGATTGAAATGGATTGAAATGAAATCAAATTAAAAAGGCAGTTTGCTTCATCGCACTGGGCACATTTCAAATGCTCAACAGCCATGTGTGCCTAGTGGACCACAGAGAGAGAGAACATGTTTGTCATCTAGAAAGTTCTGTTGGAGAGTGCTGCTCCAGACAGCAGCCAAAGGGAGCTTTCAGCAGCACAGATTGTCATCCCACTCTGGTTATAATGCCTAATGGTTCCCTCTGTATTCACTCTGAAGTCCAGACTCCTTACTATGGCCTTGGGGCTCTGAAGGATGAGGACTTTGCCAGCCCCTCTGACGTCTTACCCCACCCGTTATCCTTCAGCCCGGATGCCTTCTTCCTGTTTCTAGAATATACCAGGTTTGGTTCTGCCTCAGGGCCTTTGCACCAACTGTTTCCCTGCTTGGAGAGCTTTTTCTCTGGATTTCCACATGGATCATCCATCACCTTCTTTTGGTCTATTCAAATACCACCTCCTCCTAGAGGCCTGCTCCGATTTCCTGTTCTAAAGTGTCGCCTTCTCCCCTGCTCCACCAGCTGCATCTGTCACTTTGTTGTCTTATTGTCTTCTTGAACTCACTGACTGTGGATTTTATTTTACTTGTTCATTATCTGCCTCCTCCACTAGACTATGCACACTGTAGGCAGGGCTCCTTGATCTTCTTGGCTATAACTTCAGCTTCTGGAACTGTGCCCAGCATCAGTGGGTACTCCTACAGTATGTGAATACGTGGATGTGTGCATATGTTCTGTACTAAGGAAATTGAGGCTTGAGGTTGGGATGTGACCTAGGTCACGCAGTTGGTAGGATAAGAAGCTGACCTTCCGTCTGACCCTGTCTTGCCTTTTGGGAGCCTCTTTGGTGGAAGCCATGTCTTCCGGCTGGAGATGGTGATTCTGGAGGATTAGTCTGCAGCAAGGGTTGGGAGAAGGATTGTCAACAGACTGGATGGTTTCCCCAAATTTCAGGCAGAATGGGGCACTCCATAGGCGAAGGATATGGAACTGGCGCCTGGAATGCTAGCCCCTGTCACCGCATTATCTGACCCACCTGGGCATTGTTCTCTGTTCGTTTCATTCTTCCTTCACTGGTAGCTACAGGAATTTCTGCTTGTAAGATGGAGGAAGTTGGATCACCTGATAGGAGGTGTCTTACAACAACTTCTGTGGCAAGTGGCAGATGCCAGACTCTACTTAATTTAGGCCTGAAAGGGCCTTTCATGGTTTGTGTAACTAAAAATTCCAGGGCAGATTACTGTATTCAGCATAGATCCAGAGCCTGGATGTTGTCCGGAAGCTGCCTTTCGTCATGGTGGCTGTGCTGCTGGGCAGGCTTCCTCATGGCTGCCTGTGAAGGCTCCAGGCTCACCCCCTCCCAGCTCTGAGTCCTGTAGAAAGGGGCCACCTGGGTCCTCTTCACGCCAGCAGAAGTCCCAGGGTTCACTCTGATTGGTATGCCTTGCATCACGTGCCCAGCTGTGAGCCAATCACTGTGGCTGAGGATGGACTGATTGGCCAGGCTTGTGTCACGTGCTCAGCCTGGCTCCATGGGTGGGGCTGGCACTACTAAAAGCACTTGGTGGAGACTAGGGGAGGGTCTAAGATGGTGTGTAGGTACCAGAGGAAGGGTGAGAAAGGACAAGCTCAACCCCTAAAGCGGGCTTAGAATGGGTGCCATCTCTTAGCAGATCTGCCAAAAGAATCTCAAGTGCAAGGGAATTTAAAAATATTTATTTAGAGGTTTTTTTCTTTTAAATGGAAATGAACATACATACAGAGATGTTCACAAATGGCGTGTGCAGTTTGAAATTTCACAAAGTGAACAAACCCGTGCAGCCAGCACCCTGCTCTAGAAAGCAAACGTTACTGGCCTTAGGCGCCTCCCGCGCCCCCTCCCACTCACTGTCCTGATTTTCGGCACCTTAGGTCTGCCTGTTTTGAGTATTTTTTTTTAAATGTATTTATTTTTAATTGATTTGTATTGATTATACATACTTATGGGGTACAGAGTTATATTTCAATACATGTATACAATCTGTTATGATCAAATCAAAGTAAAATTCATTGCAAAAATGTACCATATCTTTGTGATGAGAACATTTGAGTTCCTCCCTTCTAGCCATCTGAGAACACACAATAAATTGTTAATTTTAGATACTTAGCACTACTGTATACCACTAGGACTTATTTTTCCTATCTAGCTGTAATTTTGTATTCATCAACCAACCTCTCTCTATTGCTCCATGTTTTTGGTCTTTATGTGAATGGGATCATAAAGTATACTCTCCTTTTTTCTCTTTTTCTGGCTTCTCCCACCCCTTCTCACGTTGGTGGGGTCCACCCGGGGCACCGTGAGTGGTTGCAGTGCGTCCTCTTCGCATCTGAAAGCGCCGCACTGTGGGGCACACCTCAGTTTCTTACCCTTCCATTCCTCACGGGCATCTGAGCTCGTGTGTATTGACCATTGCTGTGGTGCTGCTAGGAACATTCTTGCATGTGTCATTTGGTGCACTTATGTCTGCATTTCTGTGGCTTTTTATCTGCAGATAGAAAATACCCACACATTTGTCTTTTTGGTCCTTGAAAATGTCTTGGACCAGCGGAACCCTTCACTTCAAACTTCCCTGCCAGGCGAGGGCCTTCCAGCTTGCCCAGTAAAGCCACTGAATCATAATCCATGGTGATCCTGGGCGATTAATTCTGGCGAGATGTATCATAAAGCTGTAAATTAATTACCACTTATTGCCTGGGCGAGTCTCTCTCAGTGTGTTTGGAAATAAAATAGGAAGAACCATGTGCATGCGTGCATGTTATTAAAAAGCCATGTTGGCTCAGCGTCTGAAGCAAGGACAGGTGTTGGCAAATTGCTCCAACCTGCTTCGGTCTCCACCTGGGGTTGGAGGTGTAACGGGGCATGTTTGAGATTCTTCCAGGGCCTAGCTGTCCTGGTGGCTGCCTCCTCTATGGTGGGCCTCCAGAGCGTCACCACTTATAAAATGGGGTCCTTGTGTTTGCTCTTTTGGGCTCCTTTCACAGTTGAGATGGGAGGATGGGAAGCAGGGGTTTCCAAATTGTGTAGGACATTGTCCCCGTAAGTGCTTGAGATGACTTCAAAGAGTCTAAGGAGTCAGCTTTAAATAACATCAGCTTACACGGGCTTCGGTTTTTCATTCTCTTTCCCTCCTTCCCATCACCTCCAAGAGAAAATCTCCTTTCTCTTGGTGCTGACAGGGCTTGAAGACCTTCCTAACATGCACCAATGTGTCTTTTTTTAACAGTGAAAGAACAGATTTCACAGTCAGCCTTGTACAGGTAACAGCATCTAGGTAGAACTTACAGTATTCATTGGCTTCCGCTGTATTTATTCAACTATTTACCTTCTCATTGTGGCAAGTGTTTGCCAGTTATGGCATAAATATAAAGCCCCTTTGTAAAATATAGGTACTTTAGGAAGGCAACAGCAGTTGGTTCAAAGAAGCACATTAAGTTGTAGTGCAGGGGTGCAAGGACTCTGAGGAAAATGAAATCAGACGTCAATAAAATCCCAGCTTTTATTTCAAACCAATGCCCAGCTTTGCTAAGAAATGCAGAAATAATCCAGAAATGTGAGGCCGTGAGATGCACCAAAGCATGAATGCCGTCACCTGGCTGGCCACGAGGCAGGGGCGGGGTTGAGGGAAGATCTCCTGTTTGCTTGTTTTTCCTTCCTTTTTTTCTTTTTCTTTTCTTGAGGGGAAATTCATGTAACAAACTTAACCATTCTAAAGTGTATAATTCAGTGGAATTTAGGACATTCAGTGTTGTGCAACCATCACCTCTGTGTAGTTCCAGAATGTTTTTATTGCCCCAAAAGGACACCTGCTCCTCATTGGCAGTCAGCCCTCCTCCCCCAGCCCCTGGCAACCACCAGTCTGCTTTCCGTCCTGCTGGATTCTCCTGTTCTGGATCTTCATGAGATTTTGAGAGAGGGTCAGTCGTTCACTGTTACGCATTGTTCAGCAGGCCTGTTGTCCATTGTGATGCAGATGAGTTGGCATTTGCCCTGTCAGGTGGGCCTCACGTCTGTGTGTGTGAACTCTTGAGGGGCGAGTCTGTCCCTGTTCATGCACACTGGCATCCGCCCTGCAGCCCGGCTGCTGGGAGAGAAGGGGCAAAGCAGGCGTGTCTCCCACCCTCCCGTGGATGTCAGGGAGACCCGGCCACAGGAGTGCACACCCCAGCTCTCGGGTCATCAGCTGCAGAAGACAGTCCAGGCTACTTGGCTTGGCACTCAAGATGCCTGCCCCTACACTCAAGTTCAAATCTGGCCTCAACTTGGCTTTTTATCCTCACCTCCTGTAATTCTCCTTCACACACCTACTGTCCCATATGTGCCATGCATTTCCCACCTCCCCACACCTGCTTCTGCTGTCCCTCCCATCCGCAATGCCGTTCCCTGACCTTCTCTGCCTGGCATCTCTTAGAGACCATCTTCTCTTCCTTCCTTTGGCCCCTCTCACCAGAATCAGTGGCTCCTACTTCGCCACTCATCCAGCACAGAGCCTGTCCCTTGCTGTGTCCCAGAGCCTGGCCTCTTTACAGAACAAAAAGGGCTTTTTCCCATCTGGTTATTGATGTTTATGTCTTGTCATCATCTTGGGGGGGTCTGCAGACAGCGGCTCTGTCTCACTGTGCACCCAGCAAGGCAGGCCTCTGACATGCCGCCAAGCTCTCCTCATCTGATGCCTCCTCTCTGCCCCTCTGCCTCCTAGATGCGCCCTTGTTTCTCTCCCATCCTCACTTCTACAACGCCGACCCGGTCCTGGCAGAAGCTGTGCTCGGCCTCCACCCTAACCAAGAAGAGCATTCCTTGTTTCTGGACCTCCACCCGGTGAGCTCCCCCATCTGCCTGTGGGTGGGTGGGTGATGGTTTCCAACAGGTGTGCCCTTGGCTGCCGCCCCCCTCACCCCCCCAAGCACAGAGCTGGTCCAGGGTTGGGTGATGGGAAGCCAGGCTTCCTTTGGCATTGATGGCTTCTCGAATATTGAGCCATCAAAGGTGCTTACTTTACCCTGACTCCATAGTTCAAGGATTTTATTATCCCTTTATAAGGTTCTATAAAAGGGCCATAAGACAGTAAATTAATTAGGACTTATCAGCCTGGCGTGTCTCCTGCAAATTAATTAGTTGGAAGCAGCCCTCTGGCTGTGTCAAGATATCGTAAATATCTTTAGATTCCAATAAAAGCCTGGAACATCTTGCAGACTAATTAGGTTCTGGGGAATTTGTCCCATGTGAAGTTCCCTCTCCACGCAGGGACTAGGAGGATGTCAGACCATGCATGTGGCCTCCCCGAGGACATGACTTCAGTGGGTGCCTCTTCTCTCGGCACCTCTGTTCACTGTGAAATGTGCCCAGTTGGACTTGGTGGCTTCTACCATCGATTCAAAAATTCTGTGGATTTCTGTTTCCTGAGTGGATATTCGTGGTCTCCCTTATAGGCCTTTGAAAAAATACCATTTTTTTAAATTGAAAAATAAAAATTGTACATATTTATGGTATACAACATGCAGTTACGTTGTATGTATACATTGTGGAATGGCTAAATCAAGCTAATCACGTACTTATCATCTATCTGTGGTGAGAACACTTAAAATCTTCCCTCTTAGCAATTTTCCAGTATACAGGACATTGTGAGCTATAGTCACGAAGTCATACAATAGGTCTCTTGAACTAATTCTTCCTGTCTAACTTCCCTTCTATATTTGACCAACATCTTCCCAACCCACCCCCCACCCCCAGCCCCTGGTAACCACCATTCTACTCTCAGCTTCTATGAGCTCAACCTTTTTAGATTCCACATATAATTGAAATCATGCAGTATTTGCCTTTCTGTGCTTGGCTTATTTCACTTAGCAAATTGTCCTCCAGACTCATCCACGTTGTTGCAAATGACAGGATTTCCTCCTTCTTTAAGGCTGAATAGTACTCCGTTGTGTATATGCACCACATTTGCTTTATACACTATCTGTTAGTGGACACTTAGGTGACTCCATCTCTTGGCTATGCGAATAGTGCTGCAATGAACACGGGGGTGCAGGTGGTTCTCTGACGTGGTGCTTTTATTTCCTTTGAGTACATACCCAGCAGTGGGATTGCTGGATTGTATGGTAGTTCTATGTTTAATTGTTTGGTGAACCTCCATACTGTTTTCTGTAATGGCTGTACTCTCTCTAGAGCTTTTGTGAAGCTCTTCTGCAGACCCTGTTCCACACCATTTTCGTTTGTCCTCCCCAGACTTTCTTAGCAACTTACTGGACACCCCGAGCCTCGCCCTGGCCTGCAGCTCTCCACCTTCTCTCTCTTAGTCTATTTTACCACCTCTCTTGCTCTGCCGGCTTTTGGAGAATTCCACCATGAACCTAGACTCTTCTGTGCTCTCACTGGTAACTTGCATTTTAGTGCATGTATTTTCTTTTTTCCCCCATGTGGAGAAAAAGGGAGTGAAGTTTGGGAGGCCAGAGAGTGGCAACCAGCTGCCATGCAGTGGCCACATCAGCTGGTGCCTCCCACTTCTCTCCTTCCAGGTCAGCTCCAGGCAGGCAGGCTGAGGAAGTCGCCTCTCGTGTTTTTGTTGTTTTTCTGGGTGTGTCCGGGAGGAGGATCATGGAGTCAGTTAGCTGCCTGCTGGGCATTAGCCTTGGAAACCCAGTGACTGCTTCTGTGTGGCTCCTTTTCTGCTCCTCAGTCTGGGGGAGGGTGGGGAGACAGGAGGCCAGGTCCAAGCTGCTGTTCTCTGGGGTGCATGGAACAGGCAGGGCTCTGCCTGCTAAGTGGTGGCTGGACAATAGCTGGAGACGTGAGCCAACAAGGGCCTGGGACAAGTTTCTTGGGGAAGAAAGTGGCCCAAGTGGAGACCCCAGACTTTGGAGTGTGTTCTAGAAAGGGGAAGAGGGTGACAGGTTGCCTTGGGGTCCCCAAGACCACCCTAGGTTTGATGATTCAGTAGGAGGACTCACAGGACTCAGCTTTTGGTGGTGCTTGTGGCTAAGATTTATTGCAGCAAAAGGACACAGAGCAAAATCAGCAATGGGAATGAGCACATGGGACGAAGTCTGAGGGACACCAGGTGCAAGCTTCTGGAACCCTCTCCCTGCAGGGTCAAACAGAATGCACTTAATTCCCCTAGGACCGAGTGTGATAACATGTGAAGTGTTGTCTACCGGGGAAGCCCACTACAGACTCAGTGCCCAGGGTCTCTAGTGGGGGCTGCTCACATAGGCATCCTCTGCCTGGTCTGTACCAAAATTCTAGACTTCCAGAAGGAAAGCAGGTGGTCAGCATAAGCGACATTGTTTGTACAAACAGTCTAGGGTCAGTGAGCCCCTCGCATCCCAAAACCCGAGTTCCCAGATGTCAGCAGAGGGCCAGCCTTGCAAGCAGCCTAAGAAGGGCAGGTTCAGGCCTGCTCTGGGAACTCTTTCTACACACGGGTGATCTCGTTCCCATCCTGCCAGGTTCTCTCCCCAGTCATGGGAGCAAGGCCTTTGCCACAGGGGCTGGGAAGGCCCTCTCCCGATGGTGTACGTGATGATAACTCAAGCATTTGTAGCCCCGAGTGTGGCTGTCTTGCATACCTTATTTTGCTCCTGCAAAAATTCTGTGAGCTGGGTAGATTTAGCTGCATTTTACAGAAGAGGAAACAAGTCTCAGCTAAGAAGAACCAATCATGGTCCTCTGACCCCAAACCTAGGTTCCTTTCCCCTATAATTTCCTGGTTTCATTCTGGAACCACCTTCCTGATTTTGGTGACATATGTGTACCACTTCTGTTATTTCCTTAAAAAAAAAAATCATCTCATTAAAAAAATATTTTTCTACACACAGGAAGCTTCCCGTTAATAGTTCGAATGGGAGATTATAAAACTCTCCAACAAAAGAAGACAACCAGAAAAATAAATAGGGAAAAAAATATTATGAGGCTCCATGTAAAATCCTGTTGCCTGCCTATGGTGCTGAGCCTGAGGCCAGCTCTGTGAAAAATGGAGATTCCGTGTAGGTGTATAGAGGCTCCAAAGACCGTAAGAGCTCCTGACTGAGATTCTCTCTGAAATGATCAGGAAAAGCTGGGAGTGAATTGAGAAGAGATTCTCACCCATATTATTTAGTATGGAGGTTGTGAGAGAGAATCTAAAAAATGTCATTCTGCACTTTGGGAATCATTGTCTCAGGAGATGACGTTTAATTATCATGAAATGGATTTGTTTTTTTCCATCCTGAGAGAGGCTTTAAAGAGAGGCCCCCTGGAGGTGGTGGACATAGACTGTTTGGGAGGCATGTGGGTTTGGAACCCACAGAGGAGATCCCAGTGCATGTGCACAGCATTCCTAGAGCAGTGGACTCCCCCAAGGGGGTTTGACGGTGTCCTTAGAGCGCGAGGGCAGCTGGGCCTCTCACTGTGCTTGTTGCTGCAGGTCACCGGCATCCCCATGAACTGCTCCGTGAAACTGCAGCTGAGCCTCTACATCAAAGCCATCAGAGGCATCGGGTGAGTGGGGTCTGGGAGCTGGGGCTGTGTGGCTCATTCAGAGGTCAGGGGCTCGGGACTCCAGTGGTCACAGACTCTGGCAGTGCCCCTCAGGAACCAGGGCAGCAGGGAGGGAGATGGTCTTCCTGGAAGTGGAATCCAGCCCCTGCCATCTTCTCCATGACAGGGGGTTATTAGCCCTGGGCCCAGGTCTGACTCAAATCTTGACACCCTCCCCAGAAACCACCCCCCTTTTTCTTTTCTTTTGAACATTTCCCCGTAGAATTAACCAGAATCTTCAGGCCAAGCTGATTCCCACTCAACAGAGTGGCAAAAAATGAAAGCCTGGCAAAATCAAGTGTTTGAAAAGGGAAACTTACCAAATAGCATTCTTTTTTTTTTTCCTTTTTGTCTTTTTTCGTGACCGGTAACGGGATCGCAGCCCTCAGTGTCGCGCCCGTACCGGACTGCGACCAGCAACGGGATCGCAACCCTCGGTGTCGCGCCCGCACCGCACTCAACCAGTGAGCGGACTGGTCTCTATATGGGATCCGAACCCTCGGCGGGAGCACTGCTGCCCTCCCAAGCGCCGCACTCTACCGAGTGCGCCACCGGGCTGGCCCCCAAATAGCATTCTTAAGTTTGACTATTCACTTTACTGGAAGAATTTTTTAAGCACTGGTTTTCTTTTCTTTGATTTTTAATATAACAGCTTTATTGAGATGTAATTCACATACCATAAAACTCACCGCCCCCTTTTTTTTAAAAGATGACCGGTAAGGGCCGACCCATGGGGCACTCGGGAGACCAAGGCACTGGGAGCGCAGCGACGCTCCCGCCGCGGGTTCAGATCCTATATAGGAATGGCCGGTGTGCTCACTGGCTGAGCGCAGTGCGGGCGACACCACACCAAGGGTTGCGATCCCCTTACCGGTCACGAAAAAGACAAAAAAAAAAAAAAAAAAGATGACTGGTAAGGGGATCTTAAACCTTGACTTGGTGTTGTCAGCACCACACCCTCCCAAGTGAGCTAACCGGCCATCCCTATATAGGGATCCAAACCTGTGGCCTTGTTGTTATCAGCACCACACTCTCCCAAGTGAGCCACGAGCCAGCCCTAAAACTCACCCTTTTAAAATGTACAATTCAGTGATGTGTAGTATATTCACAGAGTTGTGCAGCCATCACCAGAGACAATTTTAGAACATTTTTGTCACCCCAGAAAGAACCCTGTACGCATTAGCACTCCCTTCTCTGTCCCCCTAACCCCAGGCAACACCTAATCTACTTTCTGTCTCTATATATTTGCCTATTCTGGGCATTTCATATAAATGGAATCATGTAATATGTGGCCTTTTGTGTCTGGCTTCTTTCACTTAGCAGCATGTTTTCAAGGTTCATCTATGTTGTGGCATGTGTCAGTGCTTTTTATGGTTGGATAATATTCTGTTGTATGGATAGATCACATTTTATTTATTGGTTGATGGACATTTGGGTTGTTTCTACTTTTTGCCCATTATGAGTAATGCTGCTATAAACGTTCATGTTTCTGTGTAGACATATATTCTCATTTCTTGTGGGTATAGACTTAGGAGTGGAACTGCTGGGTCATACGGTAACTATGTTTGACTGTTTGAGGAACTACCAGATTTTTCCACAGCTACTGCACCGTTTTACATTCCCACCAGCAGTGCAGGAGGTTCCCATCTCTCCACGTCCTCACCAACACTTGCTATAACATTACATTTTGATAGAACTGGGTGAGGCAGGATACTGATTTGTCCTTAGGTCAGTGTCTGTACTTAGCATATTTGAAATGGTTTCATTAAAAAGAAAATCCCCCTAGAAAGATTCCTGGGTTTCAGGAATATGAGCATCTATTCAGCTTTGTCAAATGCCTCTCAGCTGGAAAGAGCAACACTTTGTCAGAGAAGGGCAGGGGATAATACCTGCAAACTCACTTCCACCCTTGTGTTTTATTTTTTCATCTTGAGGCTGCTGGGGGACGAGAGGGGGGCGGTTCTCAGTAGGTTTGTGGGTAGTGAAACAGCACCAGGTCTGGACGAGGCATTTGCAGTCCAGACTCCCACTCTGGTTGGACCCTTTGGCCCCTGGGTGTTGATTCAGATGCCACCAGGTGATTTGGACCCAGGCAGGTGACCTGGACAGAGGAGCCCAGCAACTGGGTGGGGCTGGGCCCAGGGTGCAGCCTCTGCCCAGTACTAGTTGACCATTGCTTCCTGGGGATGCGAGCCCAGTGTGGCCACATTCTCTGCATTTTTCAAAAGGACCTGAAAATCTGGATTTTAACAAGAGCTCTATCAATTTTCACCTGTCGGGAGGTCATTCAGATTATTGACAAACAGTACATATGGGCACTGTACTGTGCCTGTTGGTGACTTTGGACCTGGTTGCCATGGGCCACTAACCCCACCTCTCTGGGCCTCACAGCTGCCCGACCTTCCCTGCAGACTGACAGCCATGGTCGCAAGGGAAGTTGTCTCAGCAGCAGGAATTTATTGCCACCTCTGAGGGCTGGCGAGGGATGGCTGTGGAAAGGTCTAGAGGTGCAGCTGTCGGGAAGCAGAGCTGCTGTGTTGTGTCAGAAGGGACTTTTGTACTCTTTGCTCACTAAAGGCAATGGCACATTGCAAGATACTTGCATTTAATTTTCATCAGTTCTTACGAAGCCTTTCCAAGAAAAGCTGGAAAGTGAGCAGTCCCTTCCACTGTACGAGGGCATTTCCAAAAGTTTGTGGAAAAATAGGATCGAAAGATAATAGGAATCTCTCCAGGAACTTTCTGAAGACCCTCTTATTTCCGTAGTGTTTTCCGTGTCTTTCTCATCTGTCGGTGACCCATATCAACCCATTTCACTGCGCAGACTCTACACAGTGGCTGCCTGCGTGAGTGCCATCTCTCCTCTGTACTGCTCTCTGCCTTCCTTTAAGCAGACCCAAGAATGGTGAAGTTACTCAATATTTGTCTATTTGTTTGCTGGTATTTAATAACAACAATAACTGTAACAATAAACTTATGGGGCACTTTTATATGCCAAGAAGAGAAGAAGCCTGAAAAGCACCAGGCAGCAGGGTGCCCACCGGCCAAGGTCCCGCTGCTCCAGACTGGGTGTGAGTTGCTGTATTAGTTTCCTATGACTGCTGTAACAAATGACTACAAAATTAGTGGCTTAAAACAACACGCATTTATTTTCTTATAGTCATGAAGGTCAGAAGTTTGAAACGGGCCTCACTGGGCTGAAAACAAGGTGTCAGCAGGGCTGGTTCCTTCTGGAGGCTCTAGGGGAGATTCTATTCCTTGCTTTTTCCGGCTTCTAAAGGCTGCTCACCACCCTTGGCTCCTCCATCTGACCCTCCATCTTCAGAGCCAGCAGTGCAGCATCTTCCTGTCTCTCTGCCTCTGACCTCCTGCCTCCCTCTTTAAGGACCGTTGTGATGACATTGGGCCCACCCTAATAACCCAGGACAATCTCCACATCTCAAGATCCTTAACTTAATCACATCTGCATAGTCCCCTCTGCCTTATAAGATCACATTTTCACAGGTTCTGGGATTAGGATGTGGACATCTTTGGAGGGCTGTTATTCTGACTACCACAGCTGCCAAGGTCCAGACTACAGAGACAGAAAGAGGAGCAGAAACCTGGACAGGGCTGGGCTTGGACACAGGAAGTTGAGGAGCAGGGACGAATCTATGATGATCCTCTAGGATTCACTTCTAGGTGACAGTGGTGCCAGCCCTGGCACCACAGGGACCGCAGGGGTAGAAATAGATGAGTGAAGGATTCTTTGGGGTACATGTGAATAACAATTAATAACGTACTACTAAAATATTATTAGTACATATAACCCTAAGTATCAGGTGTCCTGCTACCTAGTGTTTCTCTGACTTCTTTTCTTGGCGTGTAAGAGTGCTCTTTCTGTTCCGTTTCCCTAGTATGTGGCTTTCATCCTCAAGGTTACCTGTGGTCTAAATGGCTATTGGAGCTCCAGCCATTGCATCTGCATTCCAGGCATCTGAAAAGGAAGAAGGGAAAAAGGGTTCACCTTCCAGCTGTGAAAGCTCCTTTTTAAGCAGCCTTGCTAGCCTTCCCAGCTATCCCACATAAGGCGTCTGCTAACGGGCTCATTAAGCAGAACTTGGTCTCACAGCGCCCCCTTGCTGTAAGAGAGGCTGAGGTAGTCTTTTAACTGTGTGCATTGCTATCCTGAATAAAATTAGGGTTCTGTTTCTAAAGGGGATGAATGGTTATCGGATAGGTCACTGGCAGTCCCTGCCATATAGGAGATGTGAGTTTTTAAAAGATTATTATCACATTGTCAAGTTACTCCCTACCAGGGGAGATTCCTTCAACGTTCCACAGTCGGCACATCAATATACCCGTTCACCACGTCTGCACTAGTCGAGTAGTTGCAAATCAAATCCCTCCTGAACCCGGAGCTTACAATCACATGTCCAGAGCTGTATGATGTAAAAAACTGCGGCAAAACTTCTCACCTGCTCTGTCCTGCTTTTTTTCAGACAAACCGGGAAGATTGAGCCCGTGGTCCTGCCACTGCTGTGGTTTGCAGAGGTAAGACCGGGTTGGACTTGGGGTCAGGTACCGTAGTGAGGAGTCAACGTGGGTATTTGAGACAGGGAGCTGTTTGTAAAGAGGGAGGGCTGGGCCAGGGCATCTGGACTGTGGAACATTGTGTATTAGAGTCTTCACACTGTCGAAGCACTTTATGAAACGATCACTTGAGATGGGGAAGACAGGCGCTGTACGAACGGTAAAGTCCCTGGCCCTGGGTGTAAAAGAATTTTGTTAATGTGCACGAGCACTTCTCCTGAGAGGGAGGAAGTGGTTCTCAAGGTGTCAGCTTTTCACTTGAATGTTCTTCTCTCCCAGCTTTTCAGTATTCCTTCTGGCCTACCTCGTTTTATTTTATTTTGCTTTACTATTTTGTATTTAATTTTAATTTTATTTTTCTGGCCTACCTCGTTTTAAGTCGGGGTGAGCTAACGGCCAGGACAGACCACCTCGGAATGTGGGCTGGTGGAAGGCGGAGCTTGCTCCACGCTGTCATTCAGGGAGCCCGGGCCTTTTCCACCTTGAGGCCCCGCCCTCCCTGAATTCAATGGGCGGGGAAAGATGGAGAGTCACGCCCACCTCCCATTGGTCAGAACGCGATCACATGGCCCTGCCCAACTGCAAGGGAGTCTGGGAAACTGGTATTTTCCCAGATAACTAGAAAAAGGTAGTCCTGCCGGGTTCCCTGGAGGACGTAGAGGCTTTAGCCAGGGAGCTGGAGTCGGTGCAGGGGTGAAGGGTCACAGAGGCAGGCGTCGCGGGGTGGCATCTGCGCCCAGGCCTGCAGCCTGAGGCCGCAGCTCATTCGCTTGTCGTTCTGCCTCTGTAGAGCGGGACCATGGAGGGCGAGACGCTGCAGACGTTCTATACCCAGCTGGTGCTGATGCCCAAGATCCTGAGTTACGCCCAGTACGTCCTCCTCGCCCTGGGCTGTGTGCTGCTGCTCATCCCGGTCGTCCACCAACTCCGGAGCCAGGTAAGTGGCCGGAACTGGCAGCCCTTTGCTTTCCTGCTGGGGTGGGGGTTCTCGGCTGGGATCTCCCAACCGCCCCCAGCCTGGAGCCCACCCCGGTGGCGGCCCTGCGTCTCTGCGGGGGCGGGGCGGGGCGGGCACGCTGCCGGCCGGCGCTGCATCTCACATCTCTTGCATCCTGCGTCGCCACTACTCTGCCTGTCCTGGAAGGCCGGGGACCTTCCCTTGGAGGGGCTGCAGGTGGATTTTGAGTGAGAAGACCTGGTATTTGAATCATTTGCTCCTCAAGTCAGCACCTGCTGGATGCCGGGCTGTGTTAGATGCAGGATTGCAGAAGCTGGCAAGACGGTCGAGGTCCCAGCTTAGGAGGAAAGGGGGGCTGGCATACTAGTCTGGGGACAGATGAAAACCAGTAATAAATAAGCAGGAAATATGATAAAGATGATAGAAAACGTGATGGGTAGACCTGGAACCCGACTTTTCTTCCCAATCGCGGGGCGGGCACGCTGCCGGCCGGCGCTGCATCTCACATCTCTTGCATCCTGCGTCGCCACTACTCTGCCTGTCCTGGAAGGCCGGGGACCTTCCCTTGGAGGGGCTGCAGGTGGATTTTGAGTGAGAAGACCTGGTATTTGAATCATTTGCTCCTCAAGTCAGCACCTGCTGGATGCCGGGCTGTGTTAGATGCAGGATTGCAGAAGCTGGCAAGACGGTCGAGGTCCCAGCTTAGGAGGAAAGGGGGGCTGGCATACTAGTCTGGGGACAGATGAAAACCAGTAATAAATAAGCAGGAAATATGATAAAGATGATAGAAAACGTGATGGGCTAGAGCCATGGTGTCCAATAGAAATACAATGTGAACCACGTGCGTGATTTTAAATTTAAATTTTCTAATAGCCACAGGAAGTCAGAAGAAACTGGTGAAATTAATTTTAATCACACATTTGATTTCACTCAAATATATCCAAGATATTAACTTTTCAACATGTAATCAATATAAAAGATATTTTTGCATTTTTCATAGTCTTTGCAATCTGGTGTGTGTTGTACACTTACAGCAGGTCTCAATTCAAACTTGCCCCATTTCAAGGGCTCAACAGCCATATGTGGCTCCCAGACTGGACAGCGCGGGTCCAAGAGGGTTGGGACAAGTATAGATAGAGTGTTAGGAAAGGACTCTCTGGAGAGGTAGAATTGAAGCCTAGATGTGAATGCTCGGGAGGTGCTCAGCACAGAGCCACAGAAAGAATGCTGCAGGTGGAGGAACGGCCAGTGCAAAGGCCTTGAGGCAGGGATGGGAAGGCACACTGGAGGATCTGGCAGGTCCAGGGTGGCTGGAGAGGACGGGGGAGAGGGTCAGGAGCAGGTCACACCCCACCCCGTACTGTAGGATGAGCAGTGTGGAACTGATTCTGGGAGTGAGGGGAAGCCCTTGGAGGTTTTTAAAGTAGGAGCCACTAGATCAGCTGCTGTGTGGCACATAGGTCCTTGGTTGGGAGGGGCGAAAGCAGGGAAACCAGTGAGGAGGCTCAGGTGAGTGAGGATGGAGGCTGAGTCCAGGGTGGGGGTGGCTTATACTAAGAAGGGAGCATAAATGGCAAAAACTCCAGCCCTGGGACCTTCAGCCTGTAGAAGCAGGAAGAAGAGGGGGTGACAGCAGATACCCCTTCTAGGATTGGGGTCATTCATTCACTCACTCATGGCATTCGCTGGCAAACATTTGCTGAGCGACTTTTTTTTGTGAGGCACTGTGCGCAGGTTGGGGGATATGGAAATGACCACAACATGAGGTCTGGAGACCAGGGGCAAGGGAGACCTTTAAGTAAGTCCCTGTAGTCATATGATGACGAGAGAGCTGTGATCCCAGGGCTGCAGGGGCAGTGGAGATGGCTGAGCAGCTGCCGTGGTAGGCGAGGGGATACTGCTCACTGGCAGGGAGTCGGGAAAGGCCATTTTTGAAGGCAGGAACCAGAAAGTCACCCACTCAGGTGGTTATCCTGGGGCCACAGGCCAAGGCCTTGGTGGGGTGTTAGGGCCGCCCCGCTCCCCTGCTGGTCTTTGGGTCATCTCCATCGCCTGCTTTCTTGGTTCAGTGTTGGCAGACCAGCTCTTTCTCCCTCCCCCTTTCTCAGAGGAAGCTTGCGTGCATGCTTGCTTGCTTGCTTGCTGCGGTGATGACAAACCTTCCCGGGCCCTTACCCTGGACTTTCAGACCTGGAACCCGACTTTTCTTCCCAATCCCCCATCCTCTGGGGGAAAAGGCTTCCATGGTGTGAGGTGGCATGGGCAGCCAGGTCTTGAGTCCCCATGAGGGTTGGGTCTAACCAGTCCCGTTGGGTGCCTCTCTTCTCTGTCGCTGCCTCTGTGAGAGCCGGGGCCCAGCTGGGCTGTGACTCCAGCGAGCAAAAGGGAACTCCCTACAGTTTCTTGACTGAATTATGTGGAGAGGGCGGAAGGGACCAGAGGCAAGCTCCCAGCCCTCAGGTACCGCAGGTGTCCACTAGTGAAGACGCACACAGCTGCATATGGGGCTAGGCCTAGCAGGAGGCCGGGACAGCCCTGGCCCTCCGTCCCCTTCTGTCTCTCTCCTAATCATCCATCGGAAGGGGGAAGGGGAAGGAGGTTGAGGAAACACAGGATGTGGAGGCACTGGCTAGGGTCCCCTTCCCTGTTCCCCTCCCCAAATCAGTGTCCCGCCCCTGAATCCGGTAAGAACACTATTATTTTTATTGACAGTGTAGTTCAGTCAGAGGTTTCATCAGAGGCCAAATGATTGAAATGTATCCCGTTATGTATTCTTTTGGCTTAGCAGGATCAGGTTTTATCTTTTTGTCCTGATTGAAAAAGAGAAAAAAAGAATTGCATGCTGGTAAACTCAACCTATTTTAATTTCTCTTCAGAGAAATTTTTCTTCTCAAGTCATTCTTTAAAAAAAAAAAAAATCGAAAGTATTTTAACAAAAAAATCTCTGTTTCTGGTCCATTTAAAATGCCACCTGCTCACTCTACTGATTCTCGGCCAGCTGACCCTGCCCACCGGGGTCTCCCCACCGCGTTGCTACTGTGGCCTGAATTTTCAGGTGGACGGATCCTTTTAAGCTTGCCCTGTCCATCCTTCTGAGCCTGTTTCCTGAAGATGCTTTTATTTCTAAGGGCGACAGCTCCCCAAATCTCAGCCAACTCCAATCATTCAGGGTTGTTGGTCTGTAAAATTCTGCATTTTGCCCGCCTCCTCTTTGCTTTTTGAAAATCGAAGAACCGTGTAAAAGCTTTTGTGTTTGGCTGCAACGTCAACTATAAATTAGCTTGGTTATCTTCTAGGAGAAATGCTATTTATTTTGGAGTAGTAGTAAAAAGGGCTCAAAGGATAAGGAGGCTGTTCAGGCCTATTCTGAATCCCTGATGACATCAGCTTCCAAGGGCACTGTGCTGCAAGAAGCAAGACTGTAGGTGGGTACCAGGTAACGTCCCAACACCCTGCCTCCCCCCCCCACCCCCATAGTGACTAGAACGCTGGCAGCTCAAAACACTTGCAATCCTACATTCCTTCAACCTAAACTTCACCTGGAGTGTCTACAGACTGAAAATACATATTTGTGTATTTTGCTTCCTACGTTTCCAGTGAATGGCAGTGTCTTTGATCCCTGTGGGCAACTCGTGTTCTGTGGGCTGGTGTTATTTGCAAGGTTGTATTAAGAAGGCAGGACAAGGTTTAGGCTAGCCGTTTCTCCAAGCTCTAGTGCAGTAGAGTCCCCTGGGGAAGTTTGCTAAAAATGCAGATCCCTGGGCAGCCTCCTGGAATAGAACCCTTGTGGGGTCCAGGAATCTGTATTTTAATTGTCCCCTAAGGGAATTCTGATGTATGTGGTCCAGAGATCCCTGTTTGAGAAACTTTGGTGGAAATCTGGAATGACTGACCAAGAACAAAGAATTTAGTTTGGGCATCAGTTGAGCACCAAGTATATATCCAGGACTGGGCCTGAGGGTAGGGTTGCCAGCTTGGGCACAAAAAAACCCCAAGAAACAGCAACAGAAGGGTGGCCAGTTCAATCTGGATTTCAGATAAACAATGAATAATTTTTAGTATAAGCGTGTCCCATGCATTTATGGGACATGCTTATGCTGAAAACGTATTCGTTGTTTATTTGAAATTCAGATTTAACTGGGCACCCTGGTTTTATCTGGCACCCCTGCCTGCGGGAGAAGTAGACTATTTTCTTTGGGGGTTCTCTGTTTCCTTGACCAGTTTCCTTTAGGGCTGAGGTCTGGGGAGAGTCACGTCCAGGGTTGGTGTCCCTGCCAGAGGAAGTGACAGGCATGCAGGCCCTATGATTTGGGATTGGGCATGGGTGACTCGATCTATGGTTGTGCCTCTGATAATAGCTGTTATTTTAATTTCTGAAAAATGTGTTACACTCGAGAGCTTCTGGTGCTGGGCCCACTTGGGTTTTAAAGAGCTTTCCTGGAGCCAAATTGCAGAGGCAGGAGCTAGAGCCCTGCTCTCTGGGGCCAGTTGGCTGTCTCCAGTTTGCTTCAATTGCCAGGGCTGGAAGATGAGATAAAGTGGCAAATGCGAAGGGTGGGCAGGGGCGTGTTTGCATTGGCAGTGCTGCCAGTCCTGCAGGGAAAAGGGAGGGACAGCTGTGCCCCAGCCAGGTTCTAGGGGCTTCTATTTATCTGGGAGTAGCAGGGCAGGTTTGACCACGTAGGGGCTGAGCATTAACATAGTATCTTCTGAAGACAGGGCATCCTCACTGGTCACTCCTTTCCTTCTTTTTTGCTGAGGATTCCTCCAGGATACATTTTGGCTGTGTATAGTTTGGTCCCATCAGTGTCCCTGCCTCCTTCCAGCCATGACTCTGTTCTGCAGAAACTTGCTTGGTGTTCTCGGGGTGCAGGGTGGGAGGTCCTGAGGCGTAGAGAAGGGAGTTACTCACTTGTAGCACAGACAGAGCTGGTGGTTGGGAGGCCAGAGCCCCACGGCTGCACCACCTGGACATGACCAGGATGTCCTGCCATATCCCTCCCCACTAACTAAAACAAAACAAAACTGGAGTTTCCTCCTCATTTTGCTAACAGAATCCAATTTTCAAGTTATTAAGGAAGTATTTGACCTAAAGAGATTCTACTCCCGTGCCTTCTGGAAGGCAGCTCAACCCCCACTCCAGATGACACCCTCAACCCCCAGTCATGTGTATTTGGGGACTAAAGCATCCTCTAGTGGGCTGGCTACAGCCTGGGGGACAGGCACCTGGGAAGTGGCTGGCAGCCCTGCAGACCTGAAATCTCTGCAGGCAGCCTCCATCCCTTGCAGAGTCCTGTTCTGAGTCTCGGGCCTGGCTCCCTTCACCCTGCAGTGGGTGTGGGGGTGGCCCCAAGGGGCTGCCTTGCTTGTGTGTGGGGGGGAATCAGGGCCTCCAGAACCCAGGAGGGTATTTTTATATGGATAAGAAAAAGACAGCCCCTCAGGGCAGATGAGGCCTGCTGGAGGGCAGAGGACTTGGCGAATAGTGCCCTTGTGCAGTGCTCAGCCCAGACAGCTGTGCAGGGTGGACCTTCAGGGAAATGTCCCTGGACATTTTTTTTTACCTTCTCATAGATCCTTCTCCCATTCTAAGTCCTCTTTCCTCAGTTAAACAGAAGTGGAAGGGAGGAGGAGGAGGAATCTGTTTCATGTTTTGGCCTCTCGGGGTTTGTTACACGTGTCTTTCCTGGGAAAGACCCGGGGTCCGTTTACAGCCTGGGGGTAGTTTCCCCTTTTTACTTTTGAGTGCGACTTTGTCAAGTCATGGCTGTTCAGGCCCACATTGCTGAGGTTCTGGCCACCCCTGGTGTCCCAAGCTGCCTCTTTGTAGTGGTATGGGGGGAGGGGCTGGTCTCACTCCACCTGGCTCAGTGCAGGAAACCTTAGATCTGTCCCCAGAGGGGGAGGAACCAGGAGTCCCCCACCCCCTAAGCCCTCTGTCTCCCTGCTGTCCGGGTTTGTGAGCACGCATAGGTGGCGGGGGCGTTCGGGGGGTTTCCAGCCCCAGCGAGGCAAGGAGGACTCTGCTCTTCAGGGGAGGGCAGGCAGGGGGCTTCGAGGGACAAAGAGTCACCCCACATTCTTATCATCATAGTTATCTTTATTTTTAACTTTTTTAAGTTGAGAAATTTAAAAAATATATAACCAGATAAATAATAGTATCTGGGTTTCCTCTCGCCCAGACTCAACAATTAGTTATTAACATTTTGTCCCATCAGTTTCACCTTTTTCCTTTATGTCCTTTTCCCTCTCTCCCAAGTCCCGCTGCCCCCTGCACCCCCAGAGGCAACCACTGCGAGGGATTTGGCGCGTGGCTTTTTTCCCCCTGCACATCTGTATGTAGGCACCCATGGACAATAGGTGATTTTTAAACATTGGGTCTAAGTGGTGTCATGCTGCATGTGTCACCCTGTGGCCAGCCCTCCTGTCCTCGTGTTGTTTGTGTGAGCTGTCCAGGTTGACACCATCCTATGACTGCAGTTTAAAAATGTGTTCTGTTGATGGACATTTAGGTGGTTTCCAGTTTCTCTGTGTTAACAGTGTTGCCCAGAAGCCCTAACGCCTTGCTCCGCCCTTCTCACTACTTGGCAAGTCTCTTTGGGCCTCAGTTTTTTGGGCCCTTCTGGAAGGGGTGGAGGCAGAGCCAGATGGCATTTAGTGAGGCCAGGAGGCTTTTGTCATGACATTTCAGAAGTCTGTAGGTCACTCCAGCCTTTTCTCGAGCTTGACAGATGCTGCTGCAGGGACGGGAAGCGGGAGGTGTCCGTGCTGGTAGGGATGTGGGTGCGGGGACAGGGGTGGGACCCAGGTGGGGTGTGAGGGCCAGGTTTGGTAACCCAGCTTCCCCTTTGTCCACAGGGTCCCAAAGAAGCTGTGAGCCAGCCAAGCCTGGCGGCTCAGCCGGAACAGCTCCCTGGCCCCTACACCCCGCTTCTTCAGGACTCTCCCAGCGGACAGCCCGCCAGTCCCAAAGCCTGAGCCCCCCGGTTGCCACACAGCTGTCCGCACACATGCACACACGCCCCTGCACGTGTACACACACATGTGTACAGGCATGTGCAGACACACTCAGGGATGGAGCTGCTGCTGAGGGGACTCCAGAGGAGACTCATCAATAAGCACTGTTCTGGAACCTTCTCTCCATGTGACCCACAGGCCTGACCCTCAGGTGCTGTGGGCATGGCGTCTCCTCCTTTGGGTGAGCCTGGCCCATCCCACACAGGGCCCAGGTGCTTGACGACATATACCACCTGCTTCCCTCCCTGTTGGGCGCAAAGCAGTGTAGCCCCGGCTTGGTAGCTTGCCTACAAAGAACACGCCATCTGCTCCACCGTCCTGGAATCCCAGGCTGGGAATGCAGGCACAGGGCCCTGGCCAGGAGCTGTGGCTACTGTCTACCTGCCTTGGCTGGGGCCGTGCGACTTCACACAGGCCTCAGAAAACCATGTGGCACAAGACACACCTGCACCAGCCCCACAGCCTCCTCCACCCCCAGCAAGTCTTCCACCTCAGGTTTGGGTCACCACACTGAGCTGGCCACTGCCTAGCCAGGGTGGCGGCAGGCTCAGCCCTGAGCTGCCACTCACAGTGTCCCTCAGCTTTTAGGGGCCAGGGTGGAGGTGGAGAGGCCTTGGGGGCCTGTCCTCCCCTAGCCGAGTGCCTCCCCCGTCACCCTCTGCCTGCTGCTCCTGGCCCCTGGGGCAAGCCCTCGTCTCTTTTCTACCTTGAGAGAAATGAGTTTTGTTATCTTTTAAAAATAACTCACTATGGAAGTAATAAATCTTTTAAAAAAGTGAATGCTTGAGTCTGTGACAGCCCGTTTGCCACAGGAGGTGGTGAGGGGTGGGGGTGGGGGCTTCCCAGCAGTTCTGGGCAATTCTCGTCGTCGTCAATAGCTCCTTTCTGATGGCTGCCAAGAGCGTTTCTCAAGGGGCTGATCTGCAGACTTGTCTTTCTGTGGATTTTAAGTTTCAACTTTGTACCTGTTTAAAATTTTGTGTAACTATTCCATGAATACCGTTCTTGTTTAGAAGTAGATCCAAGTCCTTTTTGGACACTCCTCTGGCCCCCAAGGTATCCGTCTTGTGAGCTGGAGCCTCTAGAATGTTTTCTGAGTATTTACATACAGTTCGAGGTGCCTGCAGGACGTACTAGCATTGTTCTGCGGCTTTGCTGTTTCTTACATAAATGGCAGAAAAGAGTACTGGTTAAGACAATGGACTGGAGCCACCTAAAAATTTTCATCTTAAGTTTAAATAGTTGCAATGGATGTACTGTCATTGACATTTAAAAATAAAGCCATTTCATCACTGTTTTAAATGTGCCTGATAGGATCTAAATACAATGGTGAGATGATACTGTTGAACATTTAAAAAAAAATACATGAGCAAGCTCTTTTATAGTTAGGAATTTGATGCCTTTTTCCCCCCTTGAACTTGTATTTCCTTTCTTCTCCCCCCCCGAATTTTATCTACATGTTATATATTTGATGCTTTTTCATTTTTTATTAACACTTGATTGTACTTCTCTGCAATATAAATATCTGTATAAGTTGGAGTGAACGTTTTTATTATTTCTTATGACCAGAAAGGTTAGTTTTTGGCCTGGTATCTTAGTCTGATTGGGCTGCTGTAACAAAATACATAGACTGGGTGGCTTACACAACAGACATTTATGTCTCAGTTCTGAGGCTGGGAGTCTGAGATCAAAGCACCAGCGTCGTGGGTTCTGATGAGGGCTGCTTGCTGGCGTGCAGCTGGCCACCTTCTGTGTCCTCACAGGGCCTTTCTTCGGTGTGGGGAGAGGGAAAGAGAGCATGAGATTGGTGTCTCTACTTATAAGAACAAGAATCCTATCAGGGTCCTACCCTTATCACCTTGTTTAATCATAATTACTTCTTCAGCGGTCCCATCACCAAATATAGCCAAACTGGGTGTTAACAGCCTTAAATATAGGAATTTTAGGTTGACACAGACATCCAGCCCATAACATCTGGATTGCCATTCAACTATAAATACACAATTGATCAGAACAGTGTCATGTTTTTGTTTGAACTTGTTTTGTTATATATACCAAAGAAATAAGGCTGGCTGGTTAGCTCAGTTGGTTAGAGCACCACTTTGTAACACCAAGGTCAAGGGTTTGGTTCCCTGTCCTGGCCAGCCACCAGAGGAGAAAAAAAAGTCATATCTTCTTGCTATTAAAAAAATAAAATTTTATTGAAATCTGTGTCCTTTTTAATGTGTTTTATATATTTTAAGATTCACATAAAGTATATTTGTGTGTGTGTACAGTTCCATGAATTTAAACACATGCATAGATCTAAGTAACTACCACTATAATTAAGGTACAGAACAATTTCATCATCCCCCAGAATTTCCTTGTGCTTCCCCTTTAAGGTGAAGCCCACCCCATGCCTAACCTCTGGTAGCAAGCTAGTTTTGACTTTTCCAGAATGTATGTCTGAAGGTAGACCAACAGCAGATTGTCCACCTAACTGGAAAGGTATCTCGAGGCCGAACAACAAAATAGGCCATTCCATGGAATGAAACGAGGAACTTTATTCCAGGGTAACTTACATACAGGGTAATGGATCAGGCAGACAGCGACCCAACGGCACATGCCAAGCTTCTCTCTGTGCTATCTCAAGGCCAAGTTCAGGTTTACATAGGCAGTTCATAAACAAGCTTAACGTAACTAGCTCCAAATGTTGATGCAGGTGGCCAGGCTGTCTTATTGCCGCACTGGTACTTAATCATTCCTTCTTTATAGTCAGCAGGTTGTTCCTACCAATTGTTCAAACTACCTTTTCTCCTAGTTACTATGTAACTTTATGGGCAAATCTCTCACAAATACATAAAAAGCTTCTGGTAAGGGCCCAAGATGGAGTCAGTCATGCTCACAGTCCCATAAATGTCTCGAATAGAATCGTGCCATATGTAGCCTTTTGAGACTGGCTTCTTGCACTTGGCATAATGTCTTAAGATTCATGCATGTTGCTGCACGTAGCAATAGTTTGATTTCTTTTATTGCTGATTAGAATCCTGTCATATGCATATACCACAGTTCTTTTAGTCATTCACTGATAGAAGGACATTGAGTGTTTCCAGTTTGGGGCAATTATAAACACAGCCTGCTGTGAACATTTCATGTGCAGATTTTTGTGTGAACATATAATTTTATTTTTCTTGGCTATATACCTAGGAGTGGGATGGCTGGGTCAAATGATAACTCTGTAATTTTTTGAGGCACTGGCAGATAGTTTTGGTATTAGTTGGACCGTTCTGCATTCCTACCAACAATGTGTGAGTTTCACCACATACTCTCCATTTTCAGTTTTAAAAAGTTTTAGTCGTTCATAGTGGTACCTCATGGTGGTTTTGATTTGCTTAGAAACACATCTCGCAAGGAGAGGAGCTGCACTTCCTCTCCTCACCTACCTGACTCGCGTACCCATGAGCAACTATTGCCTACTGCCGGGATGGGACCAATTTTGTCATGAAGACTTTGTAGACAGAAGTGCAGAGAAGCCTTGTTTCATAAATAAGTAGCTGGTAGTGGAATTTTAATGCTCCTTCTGAGTAATGTGCAAAAATCATACAACGATTTGTCACCAGAAAGTGTACCGATCTGTCAGCTGACAAGTCCATCTGACCTTTCTCCAAATTTGTAGAAAGCAGCAAAATGGAAACCACCAACTTGCAGAAGAATTTATTGCCCAATCTTTTGGTTTATTCTCGAAATCGGTATTTAGGAGTGTCCCTTGGGTGGGGGCCAGAGGTCAGGGAGGGCCCTGCCTGCCTGCCTGCTGTGGAGGGATGGGGGCCCAGGTCTAAAGACCCACAGGCGACAAGCTCCTGTGGAGGCCAGGCCTAGAGACAGTCCCTTAAAACTCCCCTTGTTTGCTCACAGCATCCCCCCACTTTACTTATTCGATAACCACTGTTAGGAGTTTCGACTTATCTGGGTGTAAGCCACATCACAGACACTTTTAACTTTTGCATTCAGCTCAGAAAAAAAAAAAAAAAAAAACCTGCTCACAAAAAAGAAAAAAAGCAATCTCCATAAAGCGTTCTGCCGGTGTGTGTGTGTCCCATGTGTCTCATTGTGAACATATTGCTTCTCAGCGTCTTTCTAAGGTTTAAGTGGATTTGTTCTTAGGTACAACCTCGGTCCCTAAATCCAGCCAACTCCTTCATCTGGGGCTCAGTGAGGAAACCACCATCTGCCCCAAAGCTGGAGGGATGGGCTACAGAGACACCCTGCAGGGCCCCCCTGCACACTTCCATGTGGCATCATCCTAAGGCATTCTCAGGGGTATCTTTGACTCTGAGGATTTTCTTCTCATGCTGTCACATTGGGCCCCAGCTGCCACCTATGATGTCACTCTGCTACTTAATATTTTTCTTTAATGTGACTCACATTTTTCACTTTAAGAATTTTATTTGAAAAGGAAGGCAACTGTATCCATGAAATTATAGGTCTTATGGGCAAGTACTATTTCCCCAGTATCCATTAGAATAAATCTGTAACTATTAAAGTTTAAAGATGTTTTCCTAGGTACCACTAAACTGCCTCATTCCCTGGAGAACTCTGCACTGTCCTACTCTTGCGTCCTGTACTCTCCCTTCTTCCCGCCCTGCCCTGTAGAACAGCTGTTACCCCTGCATGGATGGCTTCCCTCCTGTCTTACTCAAAAACTCAATTCCAACCATGTCCCCTCCTCCAGGAAGCCTCCCTGATCACTCCTGCTTGCTCAGCTTTCCCCATCTTTGGATTCCTGGGGCACTTGTACCCTAGTTGATATGAGACTGTTCTAGAATACTAGAGGTCCTAACTTCAGTTGCTGTAGTCCAAACCTCCAAGGACCTGTAACGTAACCCCTGGTTACGTTACAATAAAATTCTGCCGTTGTGCTGGGAACTGGAATATGCTTAACTAAAATGGTTACTTGCATTCCTTGGCTCACTCACATGTCCATTCTTTCAGCAAATACTTTTCGAGTGCTCACTATGTGCTAGGCACAGGGGATACCATAGGGGACCAGATGCATGGCCCCTCCTCTCAAATAACTACAATTCTGCCACTTACTAGCTATGGGACCCTGGACAAGTCACGCAACCTCTCTAGAGCCCCGGTTTTCTCCCTTTTGAAGGGAGTGAGTCAGACCTACTTTGCAGAGAGGTGTAAGGTCAGCTGAGACGGGGGAAGTGCACAGTGAATGCGTAATTGATACCTGCCACACAGGGTCAGCATGTCGCCCTGTGTGATGAGCCCAGGGCTGGGGACTACTCGAGCCCATGGCCCTGGAGACCCTCTGGTCTCATCTGGAGGTGCTGCCAGTCTGGTCCCATGCATTCTCCATGTGGTGTCCTGTAGGGTCTTTCTGAATGTAAATCTGTCACAAAGTTTATCCTTGCTTAAATCGTGGGCGCTTTTTCCCACCCTAAAGATAAAGTCCCGTCCCTTCCCCTCATCTGGCTGCAGTGCTGGGCTTCTGGGCAATTCCAGGATCAGCCACTGGGGGGCAAGCTATGCACACACGTTGCTGAGAGGCTTGGTGTCCAAGAGGTGCTGAGGTCACATCCTGTTCCTTGAATTAAAGGAATTGATTTTAAATTGGTCGGTTGTTACCCGTGGTCCACAGGCTGTAATCTCTAGAAATTGTATTTTATGTGTGTGTCTGGGCTTTTTATTTGGGGAAGCATTTCCATAACAGTCTTCGGATTTTCAAAGTGGTAACCCTCTCTCTCCAAGGGTCTTGGGAGAAAAAGTGACATCCCCCAAATAAAAACCAGGGTCACGTGACGTTTGCTCTTCCTTAGCGTGTAACGTAAGGGTCTCTGGCCTTGGAAACAGGCTAACTGCGTGCTGAGCCCTGCTCTGCTCAAGTTGCTGGGCAGCCTTGGAGCAATTCAGAACCTCTCTGAGCCTCATGTTGACCCCCCATGAAACAGAAGAGATCGCTGCTCCGCGGACCTCTGAGAACCCTGTGAGGGTGGAGTACAAATAGATGTGTGTGCATTCTCTACGGAGCCCGGGATTATTGTAAAAGCTCTCAGATGCTGAGCCTCTGAGATACCTACTGTGTGCAGAGCACTTGCTGGGCACTGAGAGGGAGTCAGTGCTGAAAGCGGTGTAGATATTCATTTGTTGCTTCATTCAGCGGTGTTGTTTGGGGGCCCACTATGCGTCTGGCACTGTTGTATGTGTTAGGAGTTATTTGGGGTCGGGTTCCCCAGAAAGCCACAGAGGCAAAGATTCCTGGCCAAGAGGTGTTGCAGGAAACTGAGCCACGTTCCTTGCCTCTGGAGAGGTCGTATCCCTGGCTTTTCACTTTCTAGGTACCCTAGTACCTGTCCTTTGCAGTTTGATCTTTGTGGGGGAGCATTTGGTCACTCTGTCTCCTTCTTTAGGTTGTGCGTGCACGTAAGTCTTCGTTGAGTGAATGAACGAATGACCGGGGGCGTAGCAGGGGTTCGGGGTGGGGCTCGGGGTATGGGAGCGCGCAGCACCCGTCTGGGGCCCGCAGGAGGCCGCGAGTGCAGGCC